CCCCCCCCCCTCCCCCCCCCCCTCCCCCCCCCCCCCCCCCCCCATATCCAATTGTGCTGTAGTCAACTTCCAAACTAGGGCTGTTGATTGCTGCAGTTCCCTGACAGTGTTGTGTACAGACTGTCTGCTCTTGGCTTATTCATCCTTACCCAGCTTCCTTTCAGAGCAGTGGAGAGCTTTATCAGAGACAAATACGAAAAGAAGAAGTACCTGGACAGAAGTCTTGACATCAACATGTTACGGGTGGGTTCTAAATGCATAAATGTTTGCTATTTTGTAAATTTGATGCTTCCATCCAGATTTTTGACTGGCAGGAGTTACCTTAAGGTGGGGTGGACAACCTTTATTCTGGGACAGATCCCATTCTTTCAAGGCCACTTGTGGGAGGGGGGGGCTATAGGAAATAGTGAATGGGGCAGAGCTCAAAGTGGGTGAAGATACCCACATCTCTCTGACATTGTTTTGTGGCCCCTCTTCTTTTTTGTGATACCTTCTTTGCTGTGCAGAAGAGAGATCTGAATTGCTTCCTAGGCAGGGGAGAAGCAACTTAGCCCGAGGGCTACTGATTGCCCTCTCCTTGCCTAAGGCAGAAAGAAGTCTCTCCCAGCCTGAGATGGACTTCTGCTCGATGTGATCAGCTAGCCTTTTTCCAAATTATGACGACGATCTTAAGGCAATTGAGAATTAACAGCTTAAATTTTGGGGAGAAGTCATAGTGGTGGCACTACCCTTTTTGTGCCAGAGGAGATTAGAATAATCTCTGGCACAAAAGGGTAGTGCCACCACTATGACTTCTGTCCCACCCACCCCCACCCAAAAGAAGGGCACGGACCTGAATTGCATCTCAGTAAAGTTGGGCTTCAAACAAGCAATTTTCAGACAGTGGTTAAACCTTTCGATTTGCTGCCTGTGATAACCACACTGCACCAGTTCTCTGGCAGATTAGACCAGCGGAGTTGTTGTGGATTCTTCCTTCATCTAGTTCTGGGAATGAAGCAGTCCGAAAAAAGCTCTTAATTGGATGTGTTTGTATAATGTGCTGCCAGGCTAGTTAGAGACCTAGCAGCGGCATTCACGCTAGGTTTGGCCGGTTTTAACCTTGATCTCTGGTGGGAGGGGGAGCTTAGCCTATAGTATAAATCCAGTCCATTTGGTGAATGTGTGGTTTAAGGTATTCTGTGAACCCAGAGAATGGGTCAGTCCAAGCCAAAAGGGTGGTGCAAACAGCGCCATTAGGCTGGGCGAGCGGAGGCGTTTTGCGTTGAAGGCCCCTTAGAGTTTAGGTTAGGGAATTTTCCCTTAGACCTGGAGAGAAAAATATTCCATTCCCCTCATTTGCTTGCCTTCTCACCGTTCTGTGTGATTCTATTCATAGAGAGAAAAGGTTGAAAAATGGAAGAAGGAAGTAGCTGCTGGAAAAAAAATGGAGCCAGTTATCTTTGAGAAGGTCAAAATGGTAAGGTTCCTTTAGTTCTTTCTGGGTTCTTTCTGATGTCTTGTGGCTGGGGGGGAGAGGGGGGCAAGCAGGTGTACAGGGAGAGATTTGTCTCTGAGTAATAGACTGCTCTGAGATGAGATGCACCCCTCGTGGATCTGTTTCCTTTGGGGAGGAATTCAGGTAAATCTTATTACGGGCACTCAGCACGTAGTTACTTATTTAGCCGATCTGATTTTGTGAATTACATAGTGAAGTCCCAACATATCTGCTGCCTGCTGACTTATGCAAAGATTACACTTGCAGATTGATTGGGTGGGAAAAAGCATCAGGAGGCTAATTCTTATCCAGATGTCAGGGAGCTTCAGGGTAGGCTTGTACAGATGCCACAAACACACATTGATACTTTATGCCGCTCAGAGCTGAAGTTAATATCCTAAGAATTATATACTGCATGAGTTCCCAATGTCCATAGATTAACCTAGGGAGACAAAGCCTGACTGTCTTACTTGGCTCCCTGAATCATTGGGATGGGCCTTAGAATAAGTTTCAGAATCCATAAGCATTTCTCAGCAGATAAATCGGAACATTTCCTAAAGGTACAGAGAGGGTAAAACTGCTCTTTCCATGGAATATGCATCAAAGGATTTTAATGGTTTCTGTTCCCTTCAGCCTCAGAAGAAAGAGGATCCTCAAACTACGAAAAGCCTTTCCAGACCTTCAGAGCCAGTCATAGACCTGTTGGGACTTGGTAAGAACCCAGCTGGAGCGCTCCCTTCTTTCCAAAATATTTGTTGCATTGTTGCAGGATCACTTGTAAGCAGTCCTTTTTCCATCTGGGAGAGGAGATCTGGGAAAAGTAGAATTTCTGAGTTGCTGGCTGTGATTTCACTACTTGCAGCTAAATCAGTGACTTGCGTTCCTTGAACCCTGAGCTTTTTCATGGAGGAGGTCCTTAATAGCCAGTCAGTGTCTGACATGTATTAAGATCTTTTTGGTCATGGTAGATACAGGGGAGCGTGTGACCCTAAGTTTGTGCTGGAGGACAAGGAGACCCAGAGCTATCCCTGTCAACACCCCAGAATTCTTTGCAGTGAGCTAGAATTCCATGCTTAGGCCCAGAGGTTTCCTCATTTGGTGGGTCAGGTTTAGTCCAAGGCTGCAGCTTAATCGACAGGACAGACAGATTTCCAGAACAAGATGCAGAATCCCTTTTTTAAAACATGTTTTTGCCAGTTTTGCCACTGAAAATGCAGTCACAGTTCCAGAAGAAAAACATTGGTGGAACTCCAGCGCTCGCAAATCGCTATGCTGAATTTCCTAACCTAAAGTTGCGTAACATACAAGTGGCAGAACGTACAAGCAGGCTGGGAAGCATTTCAGTTCCTCTTTCATCAGGAGGCAGCTACTTAGAATTGCGTGTTGATGCTTGAGTCAGTCGGAATTTCCTGTGCGTAGCAAATACGGTAAAAGACCGAGACAAAAATGGGGAAATGTGCCACGAGCACAACTGCCGTTATAAAAGCCAGTAGCAGCTCAGTTGGTATGAGGAAGTCAGCTTCCGTGAGGGGCTGTCTGTACTTTATAACTCAGCAGCTGAATTCTGTGTGTAAAACTAAAAATGACCAAGTTCCATCCCAGGATCTTGAGGTGGGACCGGGGCTAGGGGAGTTGCTGCTGGTCAGTGGAAACAGTACTGAGTCTGATGGATTGATTGTTGGACCTATACTGTCCAACTTTTTCTCTTTGGGGTGCCTTTTAACCCTCCTGTATGGTTTGCTGGACCATAAAGAAGGCTCAGTGCCGAAGAATTGATGCCTTTGAACTGTGGTGCTGGAGAAGACTTAAGAGTCCCCTGGACTG